TGCCTGCGTAGAATGGTCTGACTCTTCATGTACTTGAGGCAGAACTCGCACATGTAAAGCCTCCCCAGGCGGGCGTACTCCTCTGGGTATGGAGAGTGGTACCAGGTGTCCAGCTCGTAACGTCCAAACACGATGGTCTTTATCATGTTGCTGCCCTCCGACACCTGGCCAGCCAGACGGAGCTTCTCCTGCACAAGCAGGACAGGAAGGGACAGGAAGACAAGAAGACAGGGCAGGCGTGCAGGCAAAGGGCAGGACGGAGAAAGAGAGAAAAACAAATCTCAATTATTTGTCGAAGAGGATCGGGCGAATCAAAGGTCACGCTCAGGGAAACCTCAGTGGAGGAAAAACAAAATAAAACGATGCAGGACGAAAAATTTCAAGGAAGAACTAAAAAGAAAAGAATTCAAATAAAAAAAAAGGTATGAAGCAAATTTCTTTAGAAAGTACTTGAGTGTAAATGTTGTTCATGAGGAAGTGAATCAACAAACTGTGCTACTGTTAATAAAATATAAAAAACATAGTCAGCAAGAAATACTTTAAGGCTGGATGACCACACAAGGATCAGACAACTGTTAAAGTTGCAAGAATAAGAGTAAAAACACGCATGTGGTGTAAATTCTAACTTAGATGCTTTCAAGATGACTTTGTTTTGAAATTGAAAAGCTAGTCATTCATTTACCTCTGTGAAGAAATGTATCGCCACAGCAACGCAGTTAAAAGATCAAAATATATGTGATAATTCAAGTATGTCTGTTTGAGAATAACGATGCTTCGTTTCAAATGAATGGGCCACAAAGTGACAGAACAGAGGGAAAAACCCAACACGGAACGACAGGAAGTGATTTCCCAAACTACCAAAAACATGTCAGACGCCTCCTGCAGCTGCAGGGGAGGGTCTGCAGACTGCAACAGAGAAGAAGAGCAATAAGGCCAAAAATAAAGGGAAGACGACAAAGTGTAAGGGGGGAGATGAAGATGAGTTTTCTCTCTTACAAGGTCGTCCGAGGCACGTGCCTGCGCTTTCCTGAACAGCTCGAGGTCATAGTCGCTGGTGATGTTCTCCAGCAGAGGCTCGCGGCTCGTCCCGTGGCTCTGACGGTGCTCCTGGTGGCGAGCGGGGACCAGAGGAGACGTTAAGAAAGAAATCTGGCTGAGAGACGTACAATCAAATGATATGTGATATATTACACACAGACTTATCTAATCCACTCACCATGTACTTTTCCTTCTGCTCCTTATTGAGGCCAGTGTTCCTCTTCCTCCTCAGCTCTGTCACCTTCTCTTTGTAGCGCAGCTGACGCTCTGTAGGGGCCTGAGAGGACACACACACTTATATACACTCACACAAAGGTGATGCTCACAATAAACATGCCACAACTTTTAAATAATAAACTCACAGAAAGCTCAGAAGTCATCAATATAAAAAAGAATATTGTGCTCATAAATAAACACTGATTTGTGTGTAATTATGTCTTCTGACAAACGGATGCTTTCTCATGAACTTAAAAATACGCAGGAGCAGTGGTCGTGTTCACGGTCAATGTTGGCCCGCCCGTTTGAATGCAGCACTTTCCCTCCGATAAACAGTTTGATTATCGTGTGAGAGTTTATTCCCTGACATAATAACTGGATAATAAAATGTTCTTTAAACAGCATAAAATGAGCTAACAGCAGCTAACAGAGGCAAAAACAACTTACTGAGAAAAACGTTCAGGATATCAACTCTGTCATCACCAGCTCATCGACTTGCTTTCATAAAGTTTGGACACCCGGCACACTGACATGTGAAGCAAACAGCATTTAACATGTCGAGTAAAATGAAGGTCTTTGTCCTGCAGAGACCACCGTAGCTACAACTATATACTAAAACTGGGAGGCGTAAGAAAACAGAATTCAGGTGACTGCAATCTGCAACCTCCTGACATGTAGTGGAGAGATTTTACACACTGTAACTTTAAAGGGCGAGAAGCTTAACTGCTTCTTTCAGATAATGAACTAAGTGGCTGCACCAAGGTGCAGCGTAAGACAAATAAGTGCTATTTGGAAATGTTAATCACGCACAGTTCCACTAGTAGACTCCATGAATATAATAAAGGGATTTAAATAACATAATAAGATTTTATCGCTTTCTGAACACAAAACTTTCTAAAAATCTCA